GTTTGATCGTCAATTTTCTCGTTGCGTTTCCCCCAGTAGTATATTTTTATTTCTCTCATGGCGAATTATTCTCTGAAACGTTCCTACGCCTATGTAATTGCCACACACATGTAAGTGCACTTAGCTTCTGCTACATAAATAAACCAGCCGACATAATACATACGCAATACGTGATAAGAGTCCTGTCAGTGGTCTTCGACTGGTAACTGAATCAGTTGGGTGTCACCGCTCGTTTGCGCCTCACCTCGCCTCGCGTTTTTTTTTTTACCAGTGTTTCATCGATTTACGTAAAAATCAACAATGAGAATCGCGCCGCCGACCGGAAGAGCGATAAGAGGATAATATCTCGCATGTGAAACACCCCAATGGAATACAATTATCATTATTATTCTGGTAAATATATAAGATGAGAAATATCATTGTCTGGTGCTCCAAAAACCTCCTCTGTTCCACACACATATATATTTTTTTTTTGTTACGTAATTAGCTTGCGTAATGGAATGCTCCTAGTCATTATATACAATTAGTCGCGTGTAGTGTCTAATTGTAATCTAATGTGTGCGCAGCGTTATAGGGATAATTTCATAATAGCCACACCTGTCTATCGTCTTATCTCCGCAGATAAGAAAAACCGGGCGGAAACTTTGATCTACCGTTCGTTCTGACTAACTGATAATCTACTGTCAGAGATATATTCAGATTGTCCGGCAGTGTTAAGCCGTTTGGTTGAAATGAACTAAATTACATTATAGTACAAATTAATATCTCGAGAGTTTATGTAAACTGTATTATCTTGAAATAACTTTAAAATATATCTAAATGCACGTTTTCGATCTTACAATTATAGTGACGATTAAATCACTCTATAATAATATAATAAATATAATAAAATATTATAGCAGCGAATCAAGATCTTATATAATAATTTAAAAACGAACCATTACCAAAATATTTGAAATGTATGATAAAAGAATTGAAAAGGTATTTATTCAAGTTTTCAAAAATAATTTGAGAGAACAGGGAGAAAAATCGAGAAATTACATTCTTCAACCCCGAGATTTGTCGAAGCGTCTAGCATACGTATAGCTCCAATTCCCATGGGGTTAAACAGTACCACTTCGTTCGAGACATCGCTACCGATGTACGTACACGTTTTATCTCGCTGTAAGCCGCGAGCTCGTGCGAAATGTACTTAACGCGAGCGGCGAGAGCATATGTATCGCCGCGCGCGTCACGCTCGAGGAATTCGTGCTAAGTACGTGTGTTACAGTCGCGTTACATGCGGTCCGACCGCCGCGGCCGCGCCGCGCCGTTAGAAACACTCGGTGCGCGAGCACCGAACGCCTAAGTACTCTAATCAAATCCGCCGAAATGCTACTTGCCATTGCCCTCCGGGGCAATTTCCTTCGTTCGATACTTATATGGATCCTCCACAATACAGATGTTTGGCAACTTTATAAATTGCTGTATCATAATTCCGCGCCATTAAGATCTTCGGTTTTAATGGCGCCGTGTATCTGGCACTACTTTTTAATAAATTTTTTATGCAACCTTGGCAGATTCTCAACATTGTATATTCATTCCATCGGTATAGATTTATAGATGCTTGATATCATAAATCTTTGGCGTCATTGACCTGTGGTACTAACCGTATAAATCGTCGATGCCGTAGATCCACGGTTATCGGCTAGATGGAACCGATAAATCATTTGTATTATAGATCCTTTGGTAGCGCAGATAGATCAAGGTACCGCTACCTACCTCTAGCATCTTCGATGCCATAGATCTTTGCAACTTATATCCTCGGTATCATAAATGATATAAAAAAATATAGACTTTGGTATAAAAAATCTTTGATATCACAGGTTTTCGATATCATGATTCTCTAGTATTTTGCAATATTTTGTATAAGACCTTACTCTACGCTTACCGCTATAAGCCGCAGGGTACCTTTCCGCGCGATTGCAATTCTCCAGCTTCCGTTTCTGTCAATTGATATTTATATACGTCTCCTTTCGCGTTAATATATTGATATGTGAAAGTGCCGCTCGAGACACGATTCGTTGCGAAAATGTCGCATTTAATCCACTTTCGAAATGCGCGTCTCACAAAGCAGCAGACGTGCGAACTGGGCTTTGGACATGACATCACACGCGGCTGCGAACCAGACGATGTGACATTTAAAAATCTCATACGCATGTTAAACGAATTTTGTCGGCTTGTGAAAGCGTGTCCTTTAAATCTGCATTCGCCGAGGCGCGTCCTTGATCTTCCGAAACGTGAATAAGTTTCTTCGTTTCTTCGCGGGACGAACGACCAATACGTTCACGATTTTCTATTAGCGGACTTTCTAATACCTTTCTCTGGCAATTGACAAGAAGCCTCTTTTTCACATACATACAAAAAATTATCTCTCTAAAAAAAAACGAATTACTGAGAAACATTACTGTGAATCAACTTAGAGCAAAATAAAAATGCAAATATCAAATAAATCCTACACAATCGCGTTAAAAAGAAAAAACATGACACATTATCGATAATTAGTAATCTACCTTATTTTTACGAAATATAATTTCCGAATATAAGTTTACCGGTACTTAAATTTTGACACCCCAATGCTCTACTTTCTGAATTTTTTAACTTTAAGTAGTCTCTATTAGCGCTCCAGACTTAATTAAAAGTTTATTTAAAAAATAGAAGATATGCGGACGTGTGTGAGACTTATTTGACAAACTGACAAGCTTTGAAGAGCATTTGGCGGTCTAGCGTTAAATCGCATGGAGCATGGAGCTACAAATGCACGCGCGCACGCACGCACGCACGTGCACATTAACTATCGTCCTGCACGTGCAGTCGCATACACGCAGCCGTCATAATTGACACTTCAAAGTTGCGCGTGCTTTTTTTTTTAGCGTGCGCCCCTTTCTTTCGCGCTCGCCGGGCCAATTTACGCTCGCGCTCACGTTCGTGCTGGCGCGTCCTTTTAGAGACTCGAAAAAATTTACGACAACGTCTACGTAGTATTAGCCGGAGTGACAATAAGCGAGGACAATAATCCCGCCGAGTCACGAACGCCCAGCAAGAAAACGAGTCACCCTGCCTCGAGTGCACGGCCGTCGTTTGTGCACTTGCTCTTATTATCGGGTTGTCGCGGCATGAAATGTGAGTTTTGCGTCAGCGTTCTCGAATAATCTCGGAAGAAATTAAATACAGAGTATTCTTCCGTTTTGACATTTGCTTAACTTTACGAAACGCCGTAGCGCTTCATACACGTATAGCGAAAATTAATCGAGGTATTTTTTTTCATCGCTTTTTATTACTTAAGACATTTATTTCGTCGAGACAATATGGCCTATAGATCTCTAGAACAAAGTAAAAACGCTGAAGCTTTTAAGAATCATACTAATTGATTTGGATCTAAATCGTCCCGAGCGTCAAATCGCCGTTTAATTCTTCCGAAACGACAAATTATATTAATTTACTCCCATTAGCACTTCGATACCACGTAACAGCTATCTTGTTCAGAAGCATGATATTTACGAGCCTCGTCATCGTAAAGAACCTAATGGCGCGGTATGCCCGGTCATCCCCGCCCATATTTATCGCCTTGTCCTCATCCGAGAAATCATAATTTTCAATATTTGCGGCTACGCTCTGTTCTCGCTTGATTTAATCCATATAATCCCGTAAATTTGGATTAAAGGCTGTCGCGAATATTTTCACACGTCTGCTTCGAATGTTGACTTCGTACAAGCTTCGATTCGCCCGTTTATCTGCCTGCTGCGTAAATACTGCCGCTCGTAAAAGTTATCACGACTCGTTAATCTTCCCGAGAAGGATGCTCGTTGTTCCTTTCTCCCGCGCGAGAAAAGCCAAGCTGCTCTCTCATCCTAATGCGATATCCACGCCTATGGTATTTCCTATCACCCTATTTTTACGGTATGTAAGTACGGTCTTATCGCGCCTCTCGCGTTTCTAGATATCGAAAAAGACGATACGACGGATGTCTCTTTATAGCTTTCGCCTCTGTAATTATCTTAAATACCCAGCTGTTCGAAAAAAGTACTGAATAAATACGATTATTGGTAATAAAAATGTATCGAACCATTTAAGAGATTAACACGCACGATAAGATATCTTTTATCTGTAACTGTACTTGTATATATCTTGTCATGGGTATTTATTCTTTTAGACGTTTTGTTGTATTTTTGTTAATAATAGAAAGCACACCACAACTTGAATCTTATACGAGGTCAAATTCCATCAAGAGTTCGATAGTTTCTTATCGACGTGGCTATTCAATACATCACGATGAATTGACAGTGCAATATTGCAGCGATTAAATGTTAGTACGTTCTATATCAAAATAACGAAGGATCATAAGTTACAAGAGCTATTTGTGTGTATACGGGTCTTTGCCTCTCGATTTCAATTATTAAACTACTGCCCCGCCTGCGAATCAACGATCAATAACTATCATAATAGATGCCTGTCGTTTGAATTGGAACGTGGAATCGATTAGTGAAACGACTGTAGACGTAACTTTCTTAAAATATAAAAAGTTCGCATTATGAACTTCTAAAATGAATATTTTTATTAATCTCTCAATTTCTCGTTTTTTAGGAAAAAAAAACACAATATTGCTTTACAATCCCTTAATAAGTTTTGCTACTTAGAATGACAAAAATTCTGATTTTAAAAATCTCGATCTTAGCTCTGCTAAAATGGCTATTCTGAAAGTACCCTTACATCTTCATTTTGTTATTCGTCGCTAATTAATGTTAACTCCTATAAATCTGTAGGGCCCGCATGAACCTTATGAAAAGGATGAGATTTTCAAGCACGTGCTTACTTAGAAAGGAAATGTCACAGATGCTAATCGCGCACGAGGCTTCATCTGGAGAACATTTATGGCCGTGTTTCCGCCTCACGTATCCTGTGTTTACGCCACGTTTACGCTAACAGAACGGGTTTCCAAAAGCGGACGATTTCTGTTTCAGGGGCGCAGTATGTGCCCGGCGCCGGGCCCAGCGCCGCACCCCAAGAAAAGATCCGTAGTCTCAAACACGCCTCCGCATATTCGCCACCCAGAGTCGACAGATACAGGGGCGGTGCGCAGATACAGAAGAGAATGACTCAGAGGGAAGACGTTCTCAAGTTCGAGCAGGGCCGCATTAAGGCCCTGCAAGAGGAACGTCTTCACATCCAAAAGAAGACGTTCACAAAATGGATCAATTCATTTCTGCTGAAGGTAATGCTGAAAAGGTCTAACTGTATATATTAAGTAATTAAATATCTAGCGTAAAACAGATTACAAGAGATGAAAATTTACATTCAGATATGAAATCTATGCCTGTCTAAATATTAGTGCTTATATAGTATTTTTTCGTATTAATTAGCTCTTGATGTATAAAATTACTTTTGATGAGTAACAATTGTCTACAATTACAATATCTTTTCGTGTAACTTTCTTTCGATTTTTTAATTGAATTATATCGGAATCTGGGTTTTCAGGCGCGCATGGAGGTGGACGATCTGTTCACCGATCTGGCGGACGGCAAGAAATTGCTCAAACTATTGGAGATCATCTCCGGCGAGCGATTGGCCAAGCCCAACAACGGGCGCATGCGAGTTCACAAAATCGAAAACGTGAACAAGTCTCTGGCGTTCCTCCATACCAAGGTAATACATATTCCCGAGAGTATGGCTTGCCTTCTTCTCTCTCTCTCTCTCTCTTTCTTTTTCTTTCTCTCTTTCTCTCTTTCTACATCTCACTCTTTCGGGGTCTCGAGTGTGTGTTTCTCCGGACGTTGCTCACTCTCGAAAACCTCTCGAGAACGAACGATCAACTGCGCGGTCCGGCGCGGTTGCACGTGTTCAGCGCGCGAACAACGTTGTTCGCCGAGGAATAAATAAAGGCTCCGAAAAAGCTTCCAAGCGAAGTCGAGAGCCGGGTAAATTAGTGGGGCAACAAGCGGGCCCGTTAAGTCCCGCTCGTAATTTCTCTGTTGAGTCATAGACCGTAGGCGTTTACATCTCGATGCAAATGCGCTAAAGATAGATGCACAATATTAAATTTTTGCCAGAACGACCTATGTACAATTTAAACGAGCGCGGATTTAAAGATAATAGATATCAATATTACGGTATTATAAATACTGATGTTTAATTCGTCGTGGAGATTCGAATGGTAATGCCGATGACTTGCACACCGTAATCACAAGTATCACCGTATTAACGCAAAGAATCATCCGGACGATTAATCTAACAGCTAGCCGTTATTTCCTATCTGTCTGGTAGCCCACACGCGTCAGTACGCGCTGTCTAACGACGAAGCCGAAGAAATTCTAGATCTGACAGATTAGAAACCTCTATGGTCGATCGTCGCGGGCGGGTTCGCGGACGAGGCGCGGGTTGAAGAAATATGATGTGCGACGCGTCGCTTCCGGTAACACGAGGATCGGGGCCACCGCGTGATTCCTGTTGGTCTCTTTGGAACCGACGGGCCCCGATACGAACGCCGACGCATCGTAGGCCTGGTCAGTCAATGCCTCCGCCCGCGCTCGTCTTACGTTGCGCGGGGCTTCGAGTTTTATCCTGCTCCTCTCTCGCCCGGTTCCGCAGGCTCCTCCTCGGCGGCGTATATACGGGCCGCGCGTAGTGAAACTATTATGTCATAAGCCACGGAGTATAAGAGGCCATTCACGAGGAGTTTACACTTACCGGGCTTCGTTGCGGCGCGGCGAGCCGGTGCCCACCGGAGCGCGCGAGCCCGCTCGAAAAAGAATACCGCGGAATGCCGAGGCGCAACAGCAGCGTATTTGCGTATTTGTTTCAAGTAACGTGGAATAATTAAATTTAGATAATTCGTAGATTTGTAAGCGAGATAAGACGGGACCGAGCGCGCGATAACGGTTCTCGGTAGCTTCAGCAAATAACTATTTCTGCAAATAGCCATTTGCGCAAATCGTATAGATGAAGTTTACGGACACCTACTGGCGTAGAATCAACCGGAACAGATCCGTGCGATAGTAATTCTCGATATAAGATAATGACGGAATAATATTAAGAAAGTAATTGGATCGAAAAGGAAATAAATGCTTTCCACCGCCCTTGTACGAATGCGTACAAATTGCGAGGTTCCGATCGCAACGCGTGATACAGCCTTAACGCGTTACCCTTTACGGAAACATATCTCAGCGGCGAAATGATCGTGATGCTCGGCCGTATACTTTTTACTGTGCAAGTACGTGTTTTATCGGTACCGCGGTAATATGGACGTAATCGTTAGGCATCGTTATGAAGTCGTGCGTTAAATCGCCGTGCTCGATACAACGGCCGTGGGCCGATCGCGTGCGATGAAAAACTCATTGTCCTTCGCATATAAGGTATCGAGCATGCGACATCATTAATCCATTTAAAGAAAATTTATTATTTTTCGGAAACCATCAAGATAATTCACGAAGGCGATCAGATAACTTGGAAAGTCACATTTCGAGTTTTATTTTTTCCCAACAAAAATGTTGTGCTGCGTACTACGAATCGCACAGTATAACTTAATGATAATTTATTAGGCTGCTCCACGCGGCCACAATACAAAACAAAATTCTCAGTGAATTAATACCTTTAAGAATGATACTAGATTTTCATCAGAAAAACTATATTATTTGCTGCTACGGCAACAAAGGCTTAATTTAGGCCGAAGACCTTCTACCATAACGTTACGAGCTAAAAAGGCTCCATTCTTGCGCAGATTATTTACGCGAGCCATTCGCATAATTTCGGTGGGCGGAATGCGATTGCATTTGCGAGCAGTGATCCATGGCGTTTGCTAAATAATGCATGACGCCGTTTACCGCCGTGTCTTGACGTCGAAGACCATCACGGTGCGTGTTTCCGCGGTGCAACTTTTTGCAACTCCGCGATCGGCGAACCGAACGGTACACGGCACGTTGCGCGTTGCGCGCGCGATGCAAAAGATTTTCACCGGTTTCTCGTTTCCCCCATTTGGAGAACGGAGGAAAAGCCACGTTTGGGTAGTCGCTTACTTCTACCTTAACGGTCTTACGCGCGTAAGTCTTCCAGCAGCACGAGCGTTTCTCTATTCGTATGACCGGCAGAGACTGGCATTTTTACAACCCAGTATAAGTTTTAGACCGCGTAATTATAGCGAGAACACTAGTAATTTAGTAATGAGTCTTTCTGTACAGGAAAGTTCTCGTATCTTCCATGCTTCTTTTTTTCAAGAAATAAAAATAATTATACATATTAAAATTATAATGAGATTAATCCAGATAATAGAACTAAATATATAAAATTAATTATAACAGCCAATTAGTGCTTTGAAATTACTCTTATTTATTATGAAAACATTCCAGTTATAACGCTTAAATCTTGAATGAAATACTTGTTAAATTAAAGTAGAACTCATTTTAAAATTAATTGGAATATACAAGACTTCTTGTATTCCTCTATTGCTCGTTCGTATCTCTAAAGCTTGATTCGCCGAAACGTTTTAATTGCCGGCAATAACTCAAGAAACTTGGCGTCGAGGCGACCGTTACTCTTCTCTCAGTTCGGCCTTTATATCCCCGCGAAAGGAAAGGCGTTTACAAAAGCCATTAGACGCGAAAGGATTAAATATAAAGGCCACACCGGCGGCCACGCCCGAGCGTATGTCAAATTTGGCTCGTGCATTCGAATGCCGCGTCGCGTCGCACGAATCGATCACGGTCTTATCGCGCGGCTGTCTTTACGGTGACGATCTCACCTCCCACCGCGGACCCCTCGAAAAAGGACACGAGTTATTTCTGGAGGATGATACGACGATGCCGTCCGTTACGAGCAAACATTCCGCGGGCGAGTGCGTGCTTCAACAAATCCGTCCTCGCTTTCGACTAAGGACGCTTTGACGCTATCAACGATTTGGTTCCGATATCAAGTTAAACGTTAAACGATCAAATTGAGCATCGAACGAAAAGCTGAATCTCTCGAATGATAATTAAAACCAGAATTGGAAAAGAATCATAAGTAGAAACTCTGTTTTAAATAAAACTAACTCATTTGCATAGAAAAGTATCAATAGTCTAAGTTTAGGCACTCTCTCTTACTTTTCTTTTACTGCACGTTTACATAGAAAGTCGAGGAAATTTTCACGGTCCGGCATAATCGATGAAACGCTTGTGTTTTCACGTCGAAAGGTATTCACGAAGAAAAGTCACGATCTAGCGCGAGTTTCTTCCTGCCTCTCGCACGATGTCGTAATAATAATGACGCTGATCGGTAGACGAACGATTTAAATAATGAGCTCTTGTTATGGCAGAATTAGCCGCATTATGCGGGTAATATCTGCATAAGGTTTCCTTCAAGTGGATCTTAGAATTCATGTTATACCAATCAATAAAATTCTTTAAATGAACAAGACTCTTGATGTAAGAATAACATAAGAATGAAGAGAATTTTGAAATGAAACGATATAATGTTCAGACATGCATTAAGATTATGATTGTAACATAAAACTTACAACACATCAAGGACTGTAGAATTATTGAGAGAATGCTCGATCAATGTCTAGACATTTATGGCACTTAGCATCACTTGTCACATTGCAAAGTACAGAGTTGTCCCGAAAGGACGAGAATCGAGAAGACGAGACGAGGAGAACGCAGAGGTTTGGAATTCTCGAGAGGCTTGCGCCAGAAGTGCGGCGTCACGATTCCTGTGTCTCGCCCAGGGGCGCTCTTCTCAGGCACCCACAGGAATCCAACCCCGAAGTAATTAGGGAGGTATCCGTTGGACGTTCCGAGAAGAGACGATCTCCCTCTCGCGCGAAGCTGTCGGCGCGCGTTGCACGCACACGTAGGAAATCCGCGCGAGGAGGAGAAAGAAAGAAAGATGAAACAGAAAATGCCGAAGAAGAGGAGAAGGGAGAAAAAGGAGAAGGGCAGGTCGGACTCTCTCCGAGTTTTCCTGCTCCTTTTCGGCCAATTTTCGGCGATCCATAAATCGGAAGGCAGGACCAGAAAGTGCAAGTGAGTGCGACGAGGAAAACGCGAGCCCTATAAGTGGACGAGGAGGAAGAACGGGAAAGACAAGAGTGCGGGGTAGTCGATGGAGGACGAGGGAGGAAGAAGGACGAGAGGTGGAGGTCAGCGACCGGCAGGCGAAACTTGCTAGACCGTCGCGAGGCCTTGCAGATGTGAAATGAAACCAGACGGCACCGCCATAGACAGGAGAACACAACAAGAGGGAGCACAACGGAGGTGCCTATTTAGATAAAGGGTACGAAGTCGGAGAGAAAAGAGCGAAGCAGGCTGTGTTGAGGAGTGAATCGTGATTTTGGATATCAGTTTCTTCCGTGGCTTGTTCGTAAACTAAAAACTAAAATGATCAACCGTGTTGTTTGAACTGATTGTAACCGGTATATTCTGCTATATTTTTATTTATGAATTAACGCATGGAGATATCCATGAAAATTATATCCTCGATCTGAGATTTCTAATTTGCGGTGGCTCTCTGTTGTCTGATTTAGGCTTCAGACACGTTCCACAGACCGCAATTTCCTGCTGTCCCTCGGGCTTCATTCCCCTAACGCTATTCTCTCCGTTCTGTTGTATTCTTATGCAGACACGTCGACCTATGCTGATCTTCGCGTGTTAGACAATAGCGTTTAGAACTGTTTA